CAGTCCCAGGAATAGCACCGGGGAGGCTGCGGCCTTGAGGCCCAAGAGCCAGCGACAAGAGCTCACAGAAACATGATGGCCTAGGGCCAAGCATGCCAAGCATGCGTTGAGGCTAGAAATCCGGGCAGGAGTCAGACGGGCCTGCATCTGAACGTGAATCCCTAGAATCCCTAAGACAACAATCTGTTGTGAGGGGGATGAGAACTCTTTTTGGCATTGATTCTGAGGCCAAGAAGTGCTCACAGACACATTTTGGCGTTCATTCTGAGACCAAGAAGTGCTCACAGAAACATGATGGCCTAGCTTGAAGCGAGCCAAGCATGCGTTGAGGTTAGAAATCCGGGCATAAGCCAGAAGGGCCTGCATCTGAACGGAATCCAAGTGAACCCTCAAGAAAACAATCTGTTGTGAGGGGGTGAAAACATTCTTTTTGGCGTTCATTCTGAGGTCAAGGAGTGCTCACAGAAACATGATGGCCTAGCTTGAAGCGGGCCAAGCATGCGTTGAGGTTGGAAATCCCGGCAGGAGCCAGATGGGCCTGCATCTGAACGGAATCCAAGCGAACCCCCAAGAAAACAGTCAGTTGTGAGGGGGTCAGAGGCCAAAAAACAGAATGTGGTGAAGGAGAACATCCCTGTGGTAACTCACTAATTTCCTGGAGTTGGCTAAAATGAGCCAATTGTCCAGGTAAGTGAGTATACGGATGCCCTGGAGCCTCAATGGGGCCAGAGCAGCATCCATGCACTTTGTGAATGTCCTTGGTGCCAAGGCCAGGCCAAAGGGAAGAACCTTGTACTGTAAGCCTTTCCCCCAAAGGCGAACCTGAGGAACTTCCTGTGATGCCGAGCAACCTGAATATGAAAATAGGCATCCTTCAGGTCAACAGTGACAAACCAGTCTCCTGCACAAATTCTGTGACATAATAGCCTTCAGCGTCAAATCTTGACCGCTGGAGGAACCTCTTCTATCACTCCCTTGTGGAGGAAGGAAAATAGTTCCCGCTGTAGCACAGAAGCCTCTGAGGCGCTGCTCACTACAGTCAGGTTAACCCCATCAAAGCGGGGGAAGGGGGTGGAGTTGTGACAGAACTGAAGTGCTTAACCAAACTGAAATGTGCGGAGAACCCAAAGTGATACCCCTGGTAGACGCTTCCATTCGTGAAAGAATTGCGATAGAGGAAGCAGAGTGTTGCAGTCTAGAGGACATACCTGTGTGGGGTGCCGAGATGGTCTGGAGGGGATAACATCATCTACCGCGAAGGAGAGCCTCTGGCGTCCTGATGCAGGATGAGGAAGCCCACAGGGTTGAGGGCCTGGTCTGTGACTGGTACAGGGTCTGCTGGCTTTGGGAGAGAACTGAATGTGTCTCCTATCACATGAGCAGCAGGTGACAAAGAAATAGGCGGTAACTAAGGGGAGAACGCCTGGTGCGTCTCCCACCCCCCATGTTGAAAGAGAGTGTGACTGAACGATTACTGCACACCGAAGCTGGTTGATGGATGTGACAGAAACCGAATGAGGAGACAGTTAGAAGTGGGCAGAAATGTATAAACGGTCTGGCCCCCGAAATTTGTGAAGAATAACACAGAAAATCTGTTTGAACAACAAACCAGTGTGTTATAATAAGGAATACACGAAATAATATAGTAAGACACCAATTTGCAATATATAAGCAGCAAAACAAGTGGTTTTGCCTGGGATTTTTTTTTTTTTTTTGCGTTAGTAAGGCGGGCGGAAAAAGGCTGCTTCCAAGATCTGGAGATCTCATGATGCAGATCGCTGAAAAAGGGCAGCTTTCTCCACGCAGTCCTCGAATTTGGGGCGCTCAGAAACCGCTTGTTGTGTTTAGATGACTGGGATTCATGGGGCTCGTCGGGCCAATCAAAAGAGAGCTTCTCTGTGGCGCACGTCTTACAAGCTCTGAGTAGGCCGCGGAAGGTCGCGCTTCCTGGCCGCTAGGCGGGAGAGCGTCGGCTGAAGCAGGCCCGAAATCCTCGGAGTCGGACGCCGCAGTGTACAAAACATCCTCTAGCTCAAAGTAAATCGTTTCGCATGCCTCCGGGCTAGGGCATTCATAATCATGCGAGAATTAAACCGGCGAATCCTCGCACTTGGGCGAGAGAGGGAGAGAAAGGGCGAGGCCCGTCTGCTCGCTCTCCATTGCCTCGAGCTCCACATCCGAACCCCAGGCCGCGTATTCATGGAGGGCCTCGGCCACTTCCGGAGCGCGACGGGGAAAGATGGAAGACTCCTTCTCAAAAACCGTGAGTCTAGTTTTTGCAGAGGGTTTTGAGGCTGACTTTTTTTTTTTTACATTAGAAGTGCCGTAAACCGCCTCGCACGCATGCGACAAACACTTGACACACACGGCGGCTGGCAACGACGAAATTCCATGCACTTCACCGCAAGGAGAACAGTGTTCCACTGTCGCAGTTGCCGAAATGCAAATGAAGAAAGCTCAACAAAAAACAGTCCAAATATCAAGCCAGAAAAACCGCAACAGAAGGTCTAAAATGGCCGCTTCGTGAAGGCAGAGAAATCTGAGGAGCAGATGGCGCGTTCGCCAGTATAAAGCCCAATTTATACTTCTGCGTCAAACCTATGCCGTAGCCTACGCATAGACGCACACCCTACGCCGTAGCCTGACGTGCACCTCTCCAAAAATCGAACAGCGCGTCAATTCTACACGGACCGCAAGCGCTATTATTGGTCTGCTAGAACCCCTCCCTCCGTATGTACTTGAGTTTTGTGTGTGTTTATGTGCACTTTAATATATTTTAATGTTACACTTTCTTATATAAAATAAAACAAAGCAAAGAACAAGTGTCTTATCATTTATTATACTACATAGCATTATACATCAGTAGTTGTCCGCAACAAACAATGTTGATCTGCCGTGGTACAAGTCCTTGTGGAGATTGAAAGAATGCCATCTCCTGTTCCGTTGTTGTCTCCTTTTTGTAGTTTTAATTAATGATTTAATGATTTGATATTTATTTGCCGCCGTCAAGGCTATAATGCTTCTCCGACGAGCCGCTTCTTCTTTGGCTTTTGCCATGGTACACCAGCAACATGCCCGTGAACACTGCAGACTTGCGGTTTACATGTGTACTGCACGTCAACGCGGACAACGACGCAGAAGTATAAATGAAAACTGACGCATAGCCTACGGCGTAGGTCCGACAGCGTAGGTCCGACGCAGAAGTATAAATCAGCCTTAACACGCACATGCGTTGTTTACACAAAGCGGAAGCAAGCGCATGCATCGTGATACTTTCCACAATGGTGGTGCACTGTTGCAGACGGGATGAGGAGGAGAAGTATTGTTGAATATTTTTGTTTTCTTTGCACACAAAAAGTATTCTCGTAGCTTCGTAAAAT